GGAGTTTGTCAGGTCATTATAGAGATAGGCTACGACATCACCGAGCTTTTGTACAATAAGAACAAAAGGGGAATTTTAGATCTCATTGGGGAAAGACGACTGAAAAACTTAACTATATTGAATGTTGATCACTCTGATCTACTTAAACACTGTTGTGTATTAAGCTGGTTGACAAAACGCCTAACGACTTGACTTTGGCGAGAACATGGGCTTTTCCACGTCAAACAAACATCATGCTGCAAAAGTTAAAAATCTATAGCATACGTGACTACTTCCTTTGAAGTCTATCAAAGCAAATCCTATACTATATGAAAAAGTAGCAACCGTTGCGTACCTCTGCAGCCTCAGCACAGACACAAAACTCATGACCTCTCAGGGTTAACTTTTTCACTTAACTCTACAACAAACTCGGGGCTCTTCATAACCTCCACAGAGAGGATTTCTACCTCTGGAAACTTCGGAAGCGTTCTTCGGCGCTCTCCTTCCTTGAACGTGCATTTCTCCCACTTCCTCTTCTGCCGAAACAGAATCTTCTTGCCTCGCAGAAAAGGCCTTTTTACAATGTTTTCACAGTGTGGTTCCACTTTCCCTATGACCTTATTAACATGACGGCTCACAGCTCGTCCTCGCAGAGATGCAGCGCCTCGTGGCGGGTGAGAAAAATAAGTCAACATACTTGGCCAGAATGCGACTTGCCAAGCCACGGAAGAACTGAGGCAAAATCATCATCCCTTAGATGTCGTTGTAATAAATATGAGTTCTATAAAACATAAATCAGCTTGACTCGGGAGCAGAAATAAAAGTCTGTCAAGCTGAAATCAGAGAAGCGTGTCCGGTTTTAGCCTTTAGAACCCCTTTTAGGCTGCCCGTTAGCTTCTTTTCCTCTGCCAATGCGTGGACTTCTTCCTCATCGAACTGTGGTTGAGGAAGGGGCGCCTCTGTAGGACAGTTGTTTGTTATGATGAACGACTGTTGGCTCGGTAAAGAGAACAAAAACTTGTATTGTCTTGCCTCGGCATTACTGGAGTCTTCTTCCTTTTATGTAAAACGTAATTTTGTAGACATAGAAGGAAGGTCTAAAGGTTTAATAAAGGTCTATCCTCGCCAAATTCGAGAAGGAAAGTACATGTAAGACCAACAATTTTGCCAGAGATTTGCATGAACGTATGATAACTGTAGAGAAGTGGGCATGACAATGAGCGAAATGTGTAAGATCGCGTTATTAATTGGCGGAGACTGACCATCTGTTGGGAGTCTGGAAGAACGATCGAAATCGAAGTTGCCGTCGTTTGCTGGCTGCTAAATTAATAAATTTTCGGAGTTTGTTTATCCTCATAAGTACCAGTTGTTTTATCAGAGTGAAAGGGAGAATACGCATCCTAAACTAAGTGACAATGCACGTAAATTCTCTATTAAAAGGGCAGCTGCAAAAAAACCGCTGGGCTAGGAATCGGAGATTTCTGGTTAAATCTCGTCGAATTCGTTAGGTTTAAGGTAACCGTGAAAAAGCTCAATTGCGAGGAGCTGCCTCCGTTGGTCGAAGGCAACATGGGACAACGCTCCACGACGTTGGTCAATATCAGAGCCGTGGGAAAATCGATCATCTATTGCTGCGAGTAAAAGCAATGAGGTTAAGCGTTGAGGGCGAAGAGGACGCTCAGTAAGGGCAAGATGGCTGCTGTAGTGTGCACTGTTTCAATAGCCTTTGGAAATGAGAGACAGCATGGGAACGTAAATACGACCCACAAGGACCATAATATTACAGCCAAACTCCTTTCCCATCACTCTTGTCTGATACAGTGCCCCTTAATATCCCTATTTAAGTCTCCAAGCGAATGGTTCAGAGTCTAGCTACTTCTGTCCTTTCTGTCTACATATAGGTATTTATCCAAGTCCAGTGCCTTCTAGTACCATAAAAGAAGTCTATAAGTGGTATAACAACACCTAAGCCTATTTAAAACCAATAAAAGGGTTTGAAAAAGTGAGCTAAATACTACATACTTCAAAGACTACTTTTCATCTTGATCAAGCTACTTGTATCTCAATGACTAGTATTCGATCTCACAAAATCACTGCAAAACAATATCACAGTTGGAGTTTTTAGTAGCTATAAGAAAAGATTTTAAGTCTGTAAAATTTGTTTGCTGCTAGGTGTTTTGCAATTATTTGCTAAATTGATTTTAACTTTCTATGTATTGGCTTAGCCGCTTTGTTTGTATCAGTCGTTGTAAATTAGTTTAAATGCATCAAGGATTCTTTGCGTGGCTCGCTCTTTAGTTCGTGATGCCGGAGGTGAAGCCGGAGGGGATACTGTCTTTCAGTAGCGAAGATAAGGTATTTTTGCAAAGATTCTCCATCTTTTGTTGAAGTATTTAAGACCACCGTTTCCATCTTCTGTCCTCTTATGTACAGCTTCATCGGTATTTATTGATCTCTTCATTAAATTGTTCCGCAGAAGGCTAGTATGTCTAAGTTTTAGTTGTACTCGTGGACTTAAGTAATTCGCCGTTTTGTGAAGATATAAGGCAGCGTGTTCCAATTTGATGGTGTGCACTGGTCGCGAATCTAGGATCTACACAATTCAGTCCCATTCTTTGTCGTCGGGATGACGCTCCCCAATAGTACTGCATACCTTTGGGAATTTGGGTATTTCGTAGTAGGGGTTAGAGATTTCAGTTGTGGTAGCTTTTACTCTGATAAGTGCAAAATTACTTTGCTTGTTCCAATATGAATCGGCTTTGACTTGTTTTGTTTACGTCGCTTGGTCATGGATATTAACAGGTCTCTTTTTTCTCTTATGAGAATTTAAGTGAAATACTTGAATCTGACAGTATTTTGCTATCAGCTTCACCGCAACATATTCTGTTTAGGCCTATCCTGCCAGCAATCTGCTTAAAGTCAGTGCCTTTTCCAAATGGAAGTGTCAGCAGGCTGGTACAAAGCATGCGTCTGTTACCTTCAAGTTTGCTTGCCCTGTTCAGTTCAGCCGCCTTGACATAGGCAACGAGGCATCTGCGTTTATTTCAGTCGAAGTATCTCGAGCCGATTCTTCGGAATTTGAGCTCCTGTTACCGTTCTCATCTTTTATGTCTCCCGCTGATGCCAAGAAAGGCGTCTCTCTTAATCGCGTGCGCATATTTTCTGGTAGTGAACTCGCTCCATCCATCTCCAGCCAGAAGTGGGATATAGTAAGAATCAACTGTACACAGCCTTTCAATTGCGAATTTCAATACGGATTGTCGTTTGTCCGTTTTTATCGCACGCCAGATGTGGATGAAGTGACTTCAACTGCGGTATTGGAGGAGGGGAGGAACTCGAGTAAAGAATCTGACGCGTTATTGAAACCTGGCGGATTATTCAGACTTGCAAAAAGGGGCGACATATCGGAAGGAAAACTAACTGTAACACGTGCTGAAAGTGTTAAGACTGCGACCGCATCGACAGGTGCTCCTGTTAGAGATGATTCGTTGTTTTATTTCTTTTGATGCTTTGCTGTGGTCGGGATTGTTGGTCCTCCGCCAAATTCGTTTTAGCGCTCATGCTAGCTTATTGTGCTTTGCTTGAGTGCATTTTGCACGCTGCCCGCCACGACCTCTCCTGTGCTTCATGTTATAACCATTCATGGATCAGTTGTAGGGGAATAACAGCGGTCCTTCTTGCGGCAGCTGTGGGGCTTTCTTCCGCAAAATGCCTTATTGGTTTTATAGAGGGCAGAATGTCTAAGCATACTATTGGTTTCAAATTGGATGCTTTACTAGCAACAATTCTCTCTGTCCATGATATTCATATTCTGTTCCCTTCTGCTTTGCAGTTATACAAAAGCTTCTTCACGAAAATCAGTCTGGTAGGTCGCGTGTTGGTTGTGCTGCCACTCATTGCCGAATCCTACTGCTAGCCTCTGAATTTGTCTTAAAATTATTTTCCCACAGTTATCCCAACAAGGTTGTATAATTTTTTAACTCAAGTTGCTTGTGAACTGCCTGAGTATCCTTAGCTCTTTGGAGACAGTTTTGATATACTTTTGTGCCCAACCAAAAATATTTTGAAAAATCTTTTAGTATTACTGAACTGCACACACATGGGCTTTTTGTTTGAGCTCTGTTGCGTTTCGCAATCTCAGCATGGCATTTTAATAAGTGCGGCTTTCCACTGTTTTCTTAGTCTGCGTTGAATAGGGAAATAATACGAATCAGGGGAAACGCATATTTGTTTATTTTAATTAGGGGTCTTTCATCCATTCATTCATACATATGTATGTATGTTTGTGTGGGTGTACGTCACTATAAGCCAAATTTGTTAAACCTTCTGGAAAGACATTGGTAAACGACTGTTTGTTGCTTCCGCTTCGCTACTATTTGGTGTTCTTCTATCGCACCCACGTACTTTCGTCAGGATTTCGTCATTCTTGTGACTATTTACCAGCTCTAAACCACACAAGCATATTGAAGCAGCACTGACCTGCTTACCTCGACTGCATTCTTTCCGGACGGCATCTTCATCTTTTTGCCTTGGAGACTACCTCATAATGCAAGGTTTTATGACCTTTAGTTTTGACTATAAATAATTATGGGACCAAGCCTTTCATTCACCGGGGTCGTTTAATTGCAGCGATTATTTCTATAGAATCTCAATTGTTAATCGTTTTCATTTTTTTTCATTAAATTTCGTCCTTTCTTTAGGCAATTAGATTCACTTCCTATGTTCTATTTAGCGATGGACTCGCAAGGCGAAACTGGTATTGTCACTACGACAGCATCGGTGGCTTCAACTTCATCGACGGCCGCCTTGAAGGTTAGTTCGTTCGCAGAGGAAAGTGGGGAAGCTGGTTCAAGGGAGAAGAGTCGGCGCATTCTCGAAGGAGTTGTGGTCGCCTTCAGTGGCTACAAAAATCCTTACCGTTCGGCGCTTAGAGAGATGTGCCTGCGACTGGGGGCCAAGTATCGGCAGGATTGGACTGACGACTGCACTCATCTCATGTATATCTCTTTTTTAACAGCATCATTGAGTATTATTTCAAGCATTTTATTTCTCAAAGGTTGTTTCGTACGCCTTTATTGTCCAATCGTTGGTTTAAATTTGGGGATTTTTTCATATTTGCATTAATGATTCCTTTTCATCAATTCCATCCCGTTATCGAGTTACATGATTAAACTGCTTCAAATTACTTTCGCCTAGATTCTTAGCTTTGAATCATGGAGGATGATCTCTCCCTTATCATTAGTTTTAATGCTCAGTTTTTGGACTTGCTCTGAAATACCCTTATCTAGCTCCATTAGGTTTTGAACGAGTACTACCAGTACTTTTTCTACTTTGTTCCACAATAATATTTATGATTGTGGGATTTCACGTTCAGTACTTTAAGCAGCCCCATGTCATATCGAATTCTATTGGTCTCATCTTTTCAGATGCTTCCCCTTGCAGAAAGCAGTGAATTCGAATGTTTACTAAAAACTAAATTGCTTGGATCTACTACAATGTTTGGTCCTCTTGTTTGCTTTAATCTCATTTAAATTGGCACTCATTTACGCCATTGATCTACATTGCCTCTTTAAATGTAAGGTGACAGCCAACCAACCGACTTCGACATTTTGACCGATTTTGTCGGTTGATGTTCATTCTTTCCACATGCTTGTGCTACTGTGCTTTAATCGGTAGTTTTTTTATTGTACAAAATTCACAGTTGCGCTTTCCCGAACACTCCAAAATGGAATGCGGTGAAGGGAAAGGGAATCATCATCTCTCACAGATGGATTCAGGCATGTGATGCAGCTCAGCAGCGTGTCTCATGGCGTCCTTATCGCGTTGGCCGGGCTCCCAGTCCCCCTGGCCATATTTCAGATGACAACGACGATGTAGACAGCGATTGGGAGTGAGTCCTTGCGCATCATTGCTTTCGCCATCACTAGCCACCGAATGGTGGAACATTTCGGTGATCATCAGATTAAGCAGTAATCAACAATTTTTCATGTTTAAATGGGGCCTCTTCTTCACAAACTTCTTTTTGTTTCCAACGAAAAGATACAATTTTTATTCAACTTCTGTATCCTATAACCTCGTTTTTTTTTACATTTTACCTCTTTTACCTTCGTGGATTCTTCCAACAACATAGACGTAAGTTTGAAGATTTTCAAGTGATCTCTTAAAACATTGTTGAATATTGAAAGCATATTGGCTTTCGTTAATGCAGGATCAATGGTGGAGGATGCAAACACCGATGAATGGCGACCAGATAGCTCTGATCAGGATGACGAAGAAAGTAATGAATCCTCTGTCTCATGCGTCTCTGAAGACTCTCAGCCAGAAGACGAGGAGAGTGAGGTAGAGGATGGCTCAGACAGCGGAACGAAGAACAGACCTTCTCGGCAGAAAAAACGAAGGGTTAAGGATCTCGCTCCATTTACATCAAGGTCACCTCGTATGTTTTCTACGTACCTAGATTCAATGTTTTCCAAATGCATATATTCAGTAGTAAGTTATTTCGTTGTATTTCCCTGTACTTTATCAGGAGGTAAGAAATTGAGATCCACAAACAATGGCAGTTCCCGACAACCACTGGAATCTAAAGGTAAGGGTGTATCCACTTTTAAGTTCGTTTCTTTTGCAGATGGTCCTATATTCCTCTGTTATGATTAGGCAACCGTTGCGTTTACATGCAAAATGCCGTAATGACGTTTTTACTTGAAGGCAGGCCTTTCCATTTCTGTTGCTTCTGAGTCTGGGATGAGACAATTCTTCATCTTGTTCAGTTGGGAGTCTTGGCAAAGTCTTACTTCCACATTCCCAATTTTTTTGGTTCCTCGTGTTGTTCATTTTACCCGCAGTGTAATCGGAAGAGCTGTAGACTGTTTTGTACAATTTTTGGCTTTTGCTCGCCCCCAAGGCTCAAGTTAAATGCTCGGGTATTCATACCTTGGGTATCTTAGGCATGAGGAATACGGATATCATACTTTCTCCCACTGTTACCTTAGTACATTTTCATTCTTTCATTTCTCACTTTAGTGTCTTGTCCACTTTTTAATTTTATTTACTATTGCTACTGATTTACAGTCGCTCCTTAGTTGTTTAATGTCACAACCAATTATTTGGTTCTCACGACTGTCTTACCACCAAATTATGTTTTCTCTGTCCGTATTAATGTTTTGGGATTGTTTATGTATTTCTTATTGGGATTATTTCGCTAAGGTATGCAATTGTATTGAAGATATTTTCTACTTTTCCAACTTCTCTCAAAGGGAACCTCTTGGTTTTGGTTTATGAAGTTATCCCGATGTTCCGACTTTGTGTCCATAACAAACATTCCGTATTGCTTCCTACCTCTTTTCGCTCCTTAGGGATCCGTATCTTAACACCACATAAATAGCTAATTCAACTTCTCAATAAACTTGCACCTGCAGTGAACTCTCCATCCTTTACATTGAGGTGTTTTTCTGCATAGCTTTCACGGCCTCGGACCTTAAAGTCTTGTTCGCGCAACCACTTTGTCTCCTTTTAGCTTCACTCACAAAGGGGAATTTGGTTAAACTTTAGGTAGAAATGTTGGAGGTGAAGACACTGATGAAGAAATTCAGAGGTGAGTATTGTCTTTGCAGCCATTTAATAGTGAATGCTTATATTTGAGCTAGAATAGTTATTCCTCATGTGTGTAATTATTATTTCACTTTCAACGTAAACTAATCATTGTTATCGTGAAAAGTGAGTCCATCGTCCAATTCCCCGTGTCCGCATCTGGATTTAAGCAAGATTGCCAAATACACCTGCTTTCGTTGTCATAGCTTTATTGTTGTGTGGTCCTTTGTCCAAAGGAAACATGATTTTGTCCTAACATTCTGTATCTATCGTGCTCGAGTGTACTCGAATTTTTTCCGGACCGGCATAGCATCACACCAAATTGAACTATTTGTCTTGATTATCTCCATATAACATATTAATAGTATCACACTGTGGTATTTTGAGGCTGGAATCTAAGTGGTAATTGACAATGTTACGATGTTTTCCGTTGTTTAGATTTGGGTTGCGTCACTTTTTCTCATAATTTTATTCTTGTGCTACAATTATGGCTTATTTTAGAAATTTGGGTAATAATCCCGCATCGACACAAAACCCAGAATCTCTCCCACCCCTACCAGATTACTTTAGCGGTCGGAAGTTCTATATCTTCTCAAAGGACTTTGATGTTAAGGAGGAAGAAATTGTGCTTCGACGGATTATCGCCTTCGGAGGGTCTGCTCGTAGTTACCGATATTTTTTACTGTCGCTCTTCCTCAATTTTCTATGGAGGTAGATCTTGCTCTTTACCTACGAACGCTATTGTTTTTTAGGGAAGTTGAGCATCACATGAGCCCAGCTGTTGAGTTTGTGGTATCTCGAGCTGGCTGGTGCAAAGAATTTGATGAGGTAAGCCTTTTTCACCTGTCGAAAATGACTTACTTTTTCGCCTTAAATTGGGACTTGCTGCATATCCATACATTGATAATTGCCCATTTTTAGTAACTTCACTTCGTTCTTGGACTGGCCTCGTGTTGGGGCTGTTCTATAGTTTTTTGTCAAGTCTAAGTTGTTTTGCTTTGTGGAGGCAGTACGTAGTGGATCTCACAGTTATTCATTTTGTGCTTAAAAATGTACTTGATTGTCCTGCCTGAGCTGACTTAATTTGCCACAATAAAAGTAACTATGAAAGCATATGATGCAGAAAACTTGCGATATCTTCTGCTAAGTGGTTGGCTGAGTTTCGTTTTGCGTAAAATTGAATGGTGGTTCCCGCTTTGCAGAACTCGACTGTTCTGATTTAGGTAGTACTGTTCTCTTTTTTAGGCACAAGTTTACGTTGCCAATATTGTTGATCCTGCCCTTATCTAGTACTGACTAACTTCTACGTCCCCCTTTTTTGGTCACTGGTGCCTCTATTTTGGACTTTGTGCGTAATGGACATCAAGGCCGCACGCTCAGTGTGTCTGTGTGTTGCTTCTGAGGGTCTGTCCGTACGCGGGCGCCTGGGCGCATGCAAAAATATCTGT